TCTGCCTCCCAAGTGCTGGGATTAAAGGTGTGCGCCACCACGCCCAGCATCATGTCTGTATTTTATACAGCTGTGTCCACTTTGCTTTCATTTATTATTTTTACTTTATGTCTGTGAGTGTATTGCTTGCTTGTGTATATGTAAGTGCACCCGTGTCTTGCAATGCCTGCAGAGGTCAAAAGAGGTCGTTGGATTCCCCTGGAACTGGAGTTACAGATGGCTGTTAGCCACTATGTGGGTGCTGTTAACCGAACCTAGGTCTTCTGCAAGAGCAGCCAGTGCTCTTAATTGCTGAGCGTCTCTGTAGCCCTCATTGTACATTCTTACCATTATTCTTTGGAGTTCTTTGTCTAGGATTTCATCTAATTCACTGATTGGAACCCTTTACCCTGGAGTTAGTATGTTTTGGAGGGGTCCTATGCACCTTCATTTTTCATGTTTCTTGTATTTCTGCATTGGAGGTTATTTCATTAGTTGGACTTTTAAAAAATATGTTAACTGTATTCTTTCAGATGGAATATTTGTATGTTCAAGCAGGACTGGTTTGAAGTATTGTGAAGGTGTCATTTCTTCCTAGGGGACTGTGAAGGTTCATTAGCTAAACCTTCAGTCCACACACTCAGGACGCCAAGCGTCAGCTCAGTACCACTCTGAGGGAACAGTAGCAACTGCAGAAGTGACCATAATTTCTGCATGGGCCCACTGTGCAACTGCTGTATCTGCTGGTTAAGCCTTGCCTTTGACTTCAGTAACTATTCCGTGATAAATGAACAAAAATAGTAGGGTGTATATTAGGATATTAGTTGGGAAGATTACGAATGGAAGGGAAATAGGCTGAATAAGGATCGAGATTCGTATTAGATCGACCAAGGGGGGGAAGTGAATGAAAAAAGTAGATGGAAAGAAGTTGGGATACTGTTAGGATCCAGAGCTTTAAGATTATTAAAGCAGTAAAAAGTTATAGCTAAGTAAAAAGAGGAGGGGACAGGGAAGGAAGAGAAGGCCATTGAGGTGGAAGGAAGAGAAGGCCAGTGAGGTAGAATGAGAGGGCAGAGAATCGGACCGTGTGCGGGAGAATGGGACAGCCATAAAGCCTGATCACCTAATCAAGCAATATGAAAACTGAAGAAAGACCTACGTATGTATGGAAGACTGGAAATGAAAGAGAACGGCAGTGACATGGAAGTAGAGTAGATTAGACAGCATCGTCTCAGTCGGTGCTGCTTCTTTTGGTGGGCGGGTTTAGGGCCCCTGTGAAGTCTTACGAGGCAAACTACTGATAAGGGGAGGTGTGATTCACACTCCAGTTCAAACTTGGAAACTAAATTTGTGGGTCTGCAGTGTCTCCGAGCTCCAGTGACCTCTCAGGTTGAGTTTCTGCTCCTTTCCAGTAGGTGTCAGCCCCTCATTGGGTTTCCCAGACCCCTGTGTGGAGCTGCTGTTGGCAAATTTCCACATTACTGGTCCACTTGTGCCGGATGGTAATACTTCCCCGCCTAGATGAGCCAAGGTTAAGTCCAGTGTGCTGATGTGACCCACATAGTGTTCATCTTTTAGCTGGAAATATTCCTTTTACCAGCACTCTGGCTGCCTCTGTCCCTGCCTGCTTCCACGATCTTCACTTAGTTTTAGATCAGGCCAGTTCACGTGCGGTGATTATTTAATTCTGAATTTGACAGAAACTTCCCATGTTCTTGCTCACCCATGCAGTTGGGAAGTGTTTCCTTCTTGGGGTATTCCCTCCAGGGCACTCATGTTGATCCTGAGTCTGTCAGCCTGGGTATATACAACCCCTGGTTGTGTCTCAAAAGCCTGTTCATCTCTTGGGAGCTTGATGTTCTTACAGACCCAGTGTGGGGAATGAGGGTGGGTAGTGAGTCCTGGCATTATTTTGGCAGTGTTAAGACTGAACCCAAGGTGTCAAGCATACTTGACAAACACTGACTCACACTCCAACCCTTCAGGGTGGCCTTGAAATGCATTGTCCTGCCTCATCCTCCTGTGCTGGGTTACAGGCATGAACCACTACATTTGACCCTCTTCTGTTCTTATATTTAGGAGAGAAAGAAAGAAAAAGAGGGAGGAGGAAGAGGAGGGGGAGGAGGGAGGAAGAGGAGGAGGGAGAGGAGGAGGGGGGAGTGATTTATACTGACTTCTGTATTTGACATTATATGTTACTGTAAGTCTCTATTAAAATGACCTGTGCATTGAGACTTTAATCTGCTGCATGATACATGTGCAGATCTCATGCTTTGTGAAGATAATAAAGAGAGCTTCTCACTCTACTTACTGCCTTGACTTCATTCTACAGATGCAGGACAGCTGGAGCACATGTCGATGAATCCTTGTTCCCTGCAGCGAATACTAATGAACACTTACCAAGTCTACTTAGAAAAAAAGTAAGTGTGCGTTTTCAGTATAGACGGGGCTCTTGTGTGTGACGCATCTTCCCTGTTTTTTTATGCCTAGAAAAATCATCCTTTCCAGAGTATCTTTTTTAAAACATTTTGTTTGTTTTTATTTTATTTTTTATGTGTATTGCCTTTATGAATGTAAGTACCCATGGAGGTCAGAAGAGGGTGCCCAATTCGACAGTTGTTAGCCACCATGTGGGTGCTGGGAACCAAACCTGGGTCCTCAGCAAGAGCAGCCAGTGCTCTTAATTGCTGAGCATCTCTCCAGCCTCTTCCAGAGTATCTCAAGTATTACTGTTGGGCACTCGCTCTTCTCACATAGAATTTTTAGTGAATTATAGAGGTAGCTTTATTTTTTTATATATTTATTTTTATTTTATGTGTATGAATGTACACCTGTGTGTGCAATATCAGCAGAGACCAGAAGAGGGAGTTAGATCCCCTGGAACTGGAGTTAACTGCCATGTGGGTGCTAAGAACTGAACCCAGGTCCTGTGCAAGAGTAGCCAGTGCTTTTAATCATTGAGCCATTTCTCTAGCTTCTATGTAGTTTTATTTTATGAATACCTTGATGCAGTGTATAAGAAATGGAAAAGAAACTGAGGTTAGCTTTGGGAAATTAAGACATACCTCAGGACTGACCAGCTTTCAGGTGCTTTGATGTTCACATCAGAATTCAGTTTGTTGTTGTAGCTATAATGAAATGTTAGACTGGGAGATCTCAGAAGTCAGGTGCAGATCTCTTCCAGTGTTTCTGAAAAGCCATTTTTATAACCGAGGATCTGCGTTACAGAGGGAGTTCAAGACACTGCTTTTACCCAAAGTCTAATTTGCATTGAATTACACCTTTCTTAGTTTAAAATTTTTCAGTTGTGATTTGTTTATTTAAGTGTAGTTTATGGTGAAGAGTGAAAAGCACTTTGTTTTCATATGAGAACCACAGTTAGATTTGATGAGTTCCTCCAGTCTGAGTCAGGTACATGGGAGAACTGTGCGGTTACTACAGCTAAAGGAGGGGTAGCAGTGGCTTCTCTGGGCTTTCTGAAGGTAGTGCCTGATGTGCCTCCATCACCGCCATCTCAGCATGCTAGCAATGGGAACCCCCTAAGCCTACTCCGACTACCTCCTCTGAGTCTTGGCTGTGTGTGTGTGTATATGTTTTAAATTTTTTTATTTTATGTGTACAAGCGTATTGCCTGCATGTATGTAAGTGCACCCGTGTCGCACAGTGCCCTCAGAGGACAGAAGAGGCCGTCAGATTCCCTGGAACTGTAGTTACAGATGGTTGTTAGCTGCCGTGTGTCCTGAGATTTGAACCTGGGTCTTCTGCAAGAGCAGTGAGCACTTTTAACCACTGAGCCATCTCAATAGCCGCTTTAGCTGTACTTTGACTGTGACATGCTGAAGTAAAGGATCTATAAAAACACATCAATAGTGCGTGAGTGTTTACATTTAACATACATAGTACACTCAGGCACAGCAAGCACTTCTGATGTTTCTCTCCTCGAAATGAGCAGCTTTCAGCTTGACTAGCGTCCCGGATGGGACTCTGCAGCATGCACTGCACGCCAGCACACAGATGTGCTGCACACAGTGCGCTCTGCTGAGCTAGCTGCGCTGCTCAGTGGGTTGTTTTTTCTTCCCACTTTTGACCACGCTGACTTCATGTGTTGCAGCTCCACTCGTTTTCCTGTAGGTGTTGCAGTCTGAGTGGGCTTTTCCTGCGTTTGCTCACAGTTAGGTAGGCAGTTCTCACAAAGCACATTACGTGTGTGAAGTGAGTTTATTTCTTGAGCTCACATGCATGAAATGGAATTATTGGCTCAGTAACAAACATACTTTGATTCAGTGATTTTAGCAACAGTGTACAGGAGCATCCTCTCTCTTGACCCTCTGGCCAACACTGTGTGTCATTGATCTTTCACAATTTTTTTCTAATCTGGTGCATAAATAATGACTGCTACTCACACACATCACCACTTTAACTTTTATTCACATCTAAAAGCCTTTCCTTCCCATTTCCAAATGCAATTGCCAATCAAACACGACTCAAGGCTTATCGTTCTGGGTTCTTGGAAGGTGTTTTCTGCTCCCAGCCTGACCGCTGGCTTGCCGCTCACAGTTTGGAGCCGTTCATGCTGTTACCCTACCCTCTTTTTGGACGATTCTCCCCCAAGTCCATTCACACGACTCAGTTTCCAGCTTTCCTGTGGCACTGTGTGAATGTTAGTGATCCAGCAGTCCCTCTCCTACAGCCCTGTTTACGATAGCCATTCCGGCTGCTTATGCCTTACCCTGCCCTGCCCTTCCTTTTTATCTGTGGTACTAGACCTCTCTGGCACTGGACCAGTGGTGGCAGTTAGAACAGGGTTTAGTTGCCAGAGATTCACAGACCCTCAGAAGAACAATTGCGTCTGTATTCATCACTTTTCTGTTGTGATAGAAGCACTGACCAAAGCAACTTATAAATAGAAGAGTTTATTTGAACTTACAGTTCCAGGGGAATTACAGTCTGTCTTGGCGGGGAGGCATGGCGGCAGAGGTAGCTGGGGCAGGAGCAGAAGCTAAGCTCTACCTCTTCAAGCAGGCACAGGAAGCAAGAGAGAAAGTGGATATCTGACTTAAGAACTCTAAGCCCACCTCCAGTGACCTGCTTCCTCCAGCTTGGCCACACCTTCTAAAACCTCCCAGAACAGCACCACCATCTGGGGACAAATTGTCCAAATACTTGGAGCCTATGGGGGACATTTTCATTCAAATCATCATAGCTTCCAAATCCATAGAGCACCATGGAACTAAGCTAACAGGGTGGAACCTCTGTTCTCTACCCCTCAGTGTCCATGACACCCCACCCCAATGGAGAGCCTTCCATACAAACTGCTAATCCATTTGACGGAACAGCATGAGTCGTCTACTCAAACTGTCCCCACTGTCCAAAACAGTACTGTTAGCTAGTACATTTCACAGCATGCATGCAGCAGTGTCCCAGCACGCACATGGTAAACCCTGGTTGTTAGCTAGTACGCTTCCCATCATCCCTCACTTCAGTGCAAGCTCTCAGATGCTGAGGACCTTTGTAGGTTGCAAGACCAGCACCGGACACAAAACAGTTTGTGTTAATGACTGAGTGACTACCCGATAGAGTCATGTCAAGGACAAAACCATGGGCATAAACCTGGAAGGTCAAAAGAAGGTCTAACTTTTCACTTTCAGGACTGAGAAGTTAGACCAGGGGCCCCATAAGCTGAAAACCAAAAAGCTCAGTGGACAGGGTCCTTGCTGGGGTAGAGGTTGCTGTGTTCATGGTGCTGGGCAGGAGGGATTCTGAAGAGTGAGTCAGGACAGAGGTGAGGTCTGTCTTAAAGGAGATGCTTCTTTTCTGTCCAAGAATGATATGATAAAATTAGAAAGTTAAAACTTTCTTGTGGAAATCCACATGGGGTATGACTACATGTGGATTCATGCATATATCCACATGTGTACACAGAGTTCGAGGGATTTACTGGCTGGATGGCAGTACTGACGTAAAGAAAGAACACAATATTAAACTGCGGCTCATTCTTTAGTAACTGAAATAGTTTTTGCATTACTGGCTCTTGAATTTGAAGGGAAGTTGATGTACGAATAGTAGAGTGCCTGGGCCAGTTTTAAGACGCTCTTGGATGTTAAGGATGCCAGCACCCTAAAACTAACTCAGAAAGCAGTTACATAACATGCAGCCTTTTACTTAATCTCCAGTGTTACCCTGTTTTTAAAAATAATACCACAGAAAGAAATTGCCAATTCGCGTATTGTAAAATCTTGTTTACTTATTATTTTCTATGTGTATGTTTTGCTTGCATGTATGTAAGTGCACCATGTATGTGCAATGTCCATGGAAGACAGAAGAGGGTGTCAGGTCCTCTGACACTGGAGTTATAGTTAGCCATCACATGGGTACGGAGAACTGAATGAACCTAGGTCCTCTGCAAAGAACTTTTTCTTACCTGGCCTAGTGGTATACGGCACTAGGAAGCAGAGAAAAGTGCATGTCTATGAGGTGGAGGGCAGTCTGTTCTAAGTAGTGAGCTCCAGGCTACCCAGGGCTACATAGTAAAACCCTGTCTCAAAAAATTTAAAAAAAGGTGCATTATCTATCATCATCATCATCATCATCATCATTATTATTATTATTATTATCATCCAAAATTGTATGGGAAAGGTTTTTTCCTCGTTTTAAAACAGTAGTAGTGCAGTATTATTAATGTTTATATCCTTTTTACAGCACAAGTGTATGCAGCCTAAAGAGTTTATTCCTAAAACACCAGAAAACAATAAAAGACTTCAAAAGAAATTTGAGAAAATGGCTAAAGAGCTGCAAAGGCAAAAGACAGTGCTCGGTAAGTCAGGTTTCACTGTTTGACCTGCCAGTGTGGACAGGCTGAGGCCAGTGAGGCTGAGTGGCTTTAAGGGAGGAAGTGTGCCACAGCATGTAAGCTGCCCACTGGAGACTGAGCAGGTGATGTGACTGAGCCATAGGGCGGGTGGGAGGCACACGGTCCCCCTCACTCATCAACATGAAGGGTTCTTACTTGGGGGAGTGAGGACAGAAGAAAAGCAAACTCTGATAAGCTTTGTTGGATCTCATTTCTTACTTTGCCTTTTTGTTTCATTGCCCAAAATAGGCAAGGCTTAGGCAATGTACGCTTTTACTGCTCTAAAAGATGCCCCGACCGCACATTCTGTGGTCAAGTTAAGGTGTGGGTGTGTGTGAAGCGTGAGTGCTGTCCAGCGGGACCACTCTGAAACTTGGTGTAAAGTCTCCTTTAGTGTGCAAACTGCATTTGGCTTTCACACTTTTTGTTAGTGGTGTGGCTGTGGATAAGATATTGAACTACTGTGTCTCCGCTCCTCTACCTGTAAGTGAGGATACCGGCACCTGTGCTGTGGATCCTGGGTACAGCTGGATGAAATCAGAATGCTGCAGCCTAGAGCTCGGCAAGTGTCAGCGGCAAGCTGTGATGGCAGTGCCCTAGGCATGGTGGGGCGACGCTGTTAGTGGGAAGAAGAGGGGTGTGATAGGTGGGTGGTCCTTAGACTGGATCATATTGGTGAAGTGTGGAGGTGTTTTCTTGAGCCTAAAGTTGAACTGTTTTCAGATGACGATGTTCCTGTTCTCCTGTTCGAGTCTCCTGGCTCACTAGTGTACAGCCCCAGTGCTCTTCTCAGGAGTCACCATAGCGTGATGGAGAAGCGATTACAGGAGATGAAGGAAAAAAGGCAAAATCTTTCTCCCACCCGTAAGTGGTTAGTCTGTTACATGGAAAGGATGCAAACTGGTGAGTTACGGTAGAAAGGGTTTATAAAATCTTTATCCATATACTCTTATCCTTTGCAGGTGCTTGGGCTTGTACCCAGGGCCACGGGATCAGGCTGCATAGCTAGCCTTATAATTTTAGTGTTTCTTGATTCTGTTATTCGACCTATTTCAGTGAAGACCTTGCTAGTATTTCCTTCCAGGAAATAATATGCTACATTAAGACTGGGGAGCAGGCTGGAGAGATTGCCCAGTGGTTAGAGCACTGACTGCTCTTACAAAGGACCTGGGTTTAATTCCCAGCACCCACATGGTAGCTAACAACTGTCTGTAACTCCAGTTCCAGGGGATCTGACAGCCTCTTCTTATCTTCTCAGGCACTGCAGGACACGGGTGCTATTACACACATGCAGGCAATACGCTCATGCACATAAAATAAGCTTGGGGGAGATGTCCCGTTCTAGAATCCTCTGTTGTGGGTCCTTTATCATTTCTAGTATCTTTGGAATTTTTTTCTTTTTTAAGAAATTAAGGGGAAAAAAAAGCCGGGTGTGGTGGTGAACTCCTTTAATCTCAGCAGTCAGGAGGCAGAGGCAGAAGGATCTCTGTAAGATTGCGGCCCCTGGTCTATATAGCAAGGATACAGGGAGACCCTGTCTCAAAAAACAAAAGCAAACAGAACAAGATAAAACAAACAAAACCCCCATATTAAGGAGCTGAAGAAATGGTTCAGCAATTTGTGGCTTTCACTGCTCCTGCAGAGGGCCTCCTTGCCTCTGTGGGCACTTACACACGTGTGCAACATGTGCAACACACAGACACATACACCTAAATTTAAAATATATGTATATCTCAATTTGTGGCTTTCACTGCTCCTGCAGAGGGCCTCCTTGCCTCTTCAATTTGAGACAAGGTCTCACTATGTAGTTCTGGCTGGCTTAAAATTTACTATATAGACCATCCTTGCCTCACACTCTTAGAGATTCCCCCTGCCTCTGCCTTCTAAGAGCTGAGATTAAAGGTACACACCACTACAAATAAATTTTTAAAGAAAAAAAAATTAAAAATAGAAAATCAAGTTAACCAAGTCGCTCTTTTAAAGTTACTTTGGATTAATTTACTTACTGTACTAGTTTATGTTTTATTTTTATGTTTTTTTAACTACTTAAGTAATAAGCACTTTTTTTTTCTTTTTTCTTTTTCTTTTTTTGGTCTTTTAGAGACAGGGTCTCCCTGTAGCCCCAGCTATCCTGGAACTCACTATGTATACCAGGCTGGCCTTGAACTCACAGAGATCTGCCTGCCTGTGTCTCCCAAGTGCTGGTAATAAAACATTTAACAGCTTAGCTAATAGTTAAATCTTTTGATTCCCGCCTACTTACATACACTCCAGTGCTGGTGAATAAGCTATGTTTTAAGTCGATGTGCTTTTCCAGGTACGTCTCACATCACTGGTTTACATGCACATGGAAATGATACAGCTGTGGTGCTGTGTGGAGGTCGAGTTTGTTTTTTTCTTAATTTGTATCACAGCATATCCATTTTTATTGAATCCTTTTCCTCCACTTTTTTTACTGTTATAACAACACTGGACACATCTGCATCATAGGCCCGCAGGCTGAACTCTGCTAGGCACTGCATTGGATACTCCTGCCCAGTTCCAGTGCCAGGACCTAGCTTTACAGCCACTCTCAGTAACACATAAGACTAAGCTATACCCAATACCAGGACACAGTCAGAGCTCTGTTCGTAGTCAGTGGAGAATGTGCCTGTACCCCACATGGACATCCAGATTGATTCAACACGTGTGTAAACTAATATTCCTCACACCTCTTCTCTTTACTTGATGTGATCCCCACTCAGCTGAATCCAAGGTTGTAAACTCAACAACTGAAAGCAAGGTGTAGAGCACTTGAGGGGTGGAGGCAGGAGGTTCAGGAGTTCGAGAATATCTTCTGCTATATACCAGGTTTGGGAACAGCCTGAGCTGCATGAGACCCTGTCATAGGCCCGCAGGCTGAACTCTGCTAGGCACTGCATTGGATACTCCTGCCCAGTTCCAGTGCCAGGACCTAGCTTTACAGCCACTCTCAGTAACACATAAGACTAAGCTATACCCAATACCAGGACACAGTCAGAGCTCTGTTCGTAGTCAGTGGAGAATGTGCCTGTACCCCACATGGACATCCAGATTGATTCAACACGTGTGTAAACTAATATTCCTCACACCTCTTCTCTTTACTTGATGTGATCCCCACTCAGCTGAATCCAAGGTTGTAAACTCAACAACTGAAAGCAAGGTGTAGAGCACTTGAGGGGTGGAGGCAGGAGGTTCAGGAGTTCGAGAATATCTTCTGCTATATACCAGGTTTGGGAACAGCCTGAGCTGCATGAGACCCTGTCCCCCCCCCAAAAAAAAACCCACTATGAAAACTGCCATAAAACTTAAAATTTGAGAATAAAAAACCTCAATAAGAAGGGACTGGGGCTGTAGCCCAGTGGTAGAGGACTTGTCTAGTGTGCACAAAGCCCCGGGTTTGATCCTTACCCCCAAAGCAGACAACTTCAAGATCCTGCCCTCATCTTCCTTATTTAAGCTTGTCCTTGTTGTACAGTCATTTGAGCACATTTTCTTAGAAAATTATCCTTTGAGTGTCTTTAAAAAATACCTTTGGGGACTGGAGAGATGGCCTCTTGCAGAGGACTAGAGTTGAGTTCCCATTACCCACATCTGGTGGCTCACAACCACCTGTATCTCCAGCTCTAAAGGATCTGACTTCCTCTTCTGGCCTCCACAAATACCCATACCCACATGCTCTTATCCCCACACAGACACATATTCACGTATTTAAAAATAATCTTTTAAAAAATACCTTTAGATCTGAGGCCTAACATTTCTTGTTTCTTGACTGCTTCATGGATAGCCTTTATAGCCTCATTTGTTAAATCATTGTTATCCTAGCTCTTTTAGATCTGAGGCCTAACATTTTGTTTCTTGACTGCTGCATGGATAACCTTTATAGCCTCATTTGTTAAGTCATTGTTATCCTAGCTATTTTCTGTGAAACCTTAGGGGTTTCTCAACCACAACACTGTTGACTTTGGGGAATGATTCTTTACTGTGGACACTGTCCTTACCAGTAACACACCTCTCCGACCTTGTGACATCAATGGCCAAGTATTTACTTGAGCACTGGGGCTCTGCTTACAGAAGTAACTATTAGGAGTTCCCCCAGTGTTCAAGACACACTGAAACCATTTGTTGAACTTTGCTTAAGCTGGGGCAAGTTGGCTTTTCAGTATCCTATCAAACTTGTAATTCTGTGAGTTAATGCATTTTGGACATAATTAGGGATTAGTTTTGTGAGTCTTATCTGCAGTATATTTTATAAGGGTGTGTGTGTGTGTGTGTGTGTGTGTGTGTGTGTGTACTCATAGTTTTATATTAAACCTGGAATATGAGCAGAAGAAGTAATCTAATCTGTATTTGGCATCACAGAGCAGAATGGGTAGACTTGCTGTTGACCTTTCCACTAGAAACTCTCAAGTCCAGTCCAGTGATACCCTGTCACCCTTCTGTCAGTTTCTCAGGTGATGGCGCAGTCCCAGCAGAGTCAAGGCGACATTCCGTATAAAGCGTCTTTGAATATTTCCCATGAATCTTTGAGTTCAGGTAACATTTTAATATTTTTTCTTGTGATAAAGTTAAGATTTGACAAGTATGTGTGCATGTGTCTGTGTGTGTGCACATCTCCCTGTAGAGCTGTGCCTGATGTAGAACTTGCTATATAGACCTAGCTGACCTCTAGCTTGTAGCAATCCTCCTGCCTCCACCTCCTGAGTGCTGAGATTATAAACATGTACCACCATGCCCGGATGTCATATTGTTACTTCTAAATACTCAAATAATCGAATAAATCTACAACTCAGATTTTTCCCTGGAGTTTGGTATTGTTGTAGAACAGGACAGAAGAAGCCATGCGTTACAGTCCCTGTCTAGGTTCTGTGAGTTCCTTCCTGGGAATTTGTTTTCTTTCTATGGACTAAATTGCCCATTTCTAGAAATTGTTGTGATTGTATATGAACTGATCCAAATGCAGTTTAAACCATATACATAAGTTATATAGCTTTCCTTTTGTGTCAGATTCCTGATACTTTTCTCACCTGGCCTGTAGTAGGGCCTAAGCAAGCTATCAGGAACCCCTAAGAAGCTATAATTAAAAGTGCTTGAAATGCTACAGGTATCTTGTGGAAACTTCAGGAGGAGTTGCGCTAGGCTTCTTTCCTATCAGTGTATGGTTTACTCTGGCATGCCTGCGTGTGCTGGGATCATTTACCCATTTATCCTCTTCTTTTCTGCTCGGTAGCTTTCTTTCCCATAGGTTAGAAGCAAATGGTGATGACAGTGCTGATTTCATTTCCCATGTGCAGGCTGCTCTGGGGCTCCCTGCATTGCCCTCACTGTCAGCCCCCATCTCAGGAAAGTAGGCAGCATCACCATCCCCATTTGCCACAGAGACAGCTGGGACACAGGGAGGTTTGGTGGCTTGTGCAAAGTCTTGCTTGTGATTGGAACCCAGGCTTCTGACATGGGTAGTCCAACTGAGAATTTGTGCTCTTAGTGATATGCTGCACCGTGTACTGGCCTTTTGAAAAGTGTCATCACTGTATTCGTTTGCTAAGTCTACATAGTGAGTTCCAGGCTAGTTGGGGCTATAGGGAGACCCTGTCTCAGAAAGACCAAAAAACAAAACCGAAAACAAAACAGTAAACCTGACACATCTCTCCAGCTTCTGCCTTCGAGGCACATGTGCACTAGCCCAGCATCATGCTGCCCTATCCGTCCCTTCCTTCCTAGAGCACAGATGCACAGAAAGATCTGTGATTGCCTGTGCTCCTCCCTTTTAAAGTTGAACCCCAGTGACTTGAGGCAGAAGTTAGAATAGCGGTGTTGTATCCATTGTGTGGCATCTCTAAAGTGGAGGTCCTCAGCCAGCACTGTGTCCACTGGGAAGCCAGCCCTGGGTGGAGGCTGCAGGTTTTCAAAGGAGCAGGAAGTGGTGACCAGGATGGTCTCTAGGTGAGTTGTATTAATTAGGGGAATGCTTCATAGAGGATCGAGCTTGACCTTGACCTTGACCTTAAGGCAATAAATGTTCTCATGTTCTGGAATTATATTGTCCTCCTGAGAATTTAGTGACAGGCTTGGAAACTACTCACATGCATATGGAAATTTGCATAACATTTTCAGAGATTTGCTACCTCTTCCTTCATCCCATCCTATAGACTTCCTAGTTAAAAATTTAGGCCTTCAAGAGTTCTTAAAAGGATGTGAAGGGCTGGAGAGATGGCTCAGTGGTGAAGAACACTGGTTATTCTTGCAGAAGACCAGGGTTCAAATCCCAGCACCCACATGGCAGCTAACAACTGTCCGTAACTCCAGTTGGAGGGGATCCAACAGCCTCTTCTGACCTCCACGGGCATTGCACGACACAGGGACAGGCAGCACACACATACACATAAAATACAAATAATAAAATATTTAAAATTTTTTGAAAGTTTAAAAAAAAAGGCATGAACAAGAGGGGTAGAATAATGATGTGGAGAGTTCACTTAAGCTGGGCCTCGTGGTACAAGGCTGTAATCCAAGCTACTCTGGAGGCTCAAGGCTGCCTGAGCTGCAGAGTGAGTTCAAGGCCTGCCTAGGACTCAAGAAAAAGTACTAGTTAACCAAAAGTTACATTTATGGTAGCTGACATTTTGAAGTTGCTTTTTTATTGATCTTTCCAGGTGATCCTTTCCCAGAGAGTCATACTCATCTTTTGATGGTCTCTTTGGAATCCATAGATGGAGATCAGGAAAGCAAACTGGGACTATCTGCTAATGAGACTGTGGGTGAGGTGTGCCCTTCGTCGTCTATGTTGAAGATAAACAGCGTTGATGAGTCAGCGTCATCCAGTCACCTCCGTCCGTCAAGTCCTCAGGAAGCCCTGAGCAGTCTTCCACAGGAGGACGTCAGCTGGCAGAGAGGTGCTGTAGGTGACATAGCTGCCCTAGATAAAACGCAAGCTGAATGTGTGTCTAAGGAGATGTCTGCTGAGAGACACAGCCCGTCTCCTGCGGTCTCTACCTCAGAAGACCACTTGGTATGTTCCGGGTCTAAGCATTCCTCAGCAAAGAGAAAAGGAACGTCAACAGATTTTTCACCTCCAAAAAAGAAAGTGAAGAAGAAGAAGTCCAGTAGGAAGCCTGCCCTGCACCTGAAGCTGTTCAAGTCCAAGCACAGCCTGCAGTCCATTACCACCCTGGGAACTCTTGATGGTGGGGCATCTTCTTATGAGGACTACTTCTCCCCTGATAATCTCAAGGAAAGGAATTCAGAGACTCTTCCTCCTGAGGCTCAGTCACCGTCAAGCCCTTCTCTGTTCTGCCACAGAGGGCTCTCAAAGCGAGAAAGAACAAGCATACTGGAAAAGTCTGATTTTTCCTGCATAAGTGAAAAGCCCAGATCCATCAGCATTACTGACTCAACATCAAAAAGTAGCTCTAGTCATGAGAACGCTGCCCATGGGGAAGGGAATCCACCTTCCAGTCCCATGCCTTTGCAGGGAGTACCTGCTGCTAAGGCAAGCCCTGGACACTGCATGCAGGCTGGGCCTCAGCTGAGGGACACTGGGCTGGAGGGAAGCAACCATCCTTACATCCGGTACGGCCCTGCTCGTGCAAAGGCAAGCAGTAAGGAAGCAAGAGAATCAGTGGGTGCAAAAAGCGCATCTAATGAGGATACCGCTGCCCCAGTGCCCGTCTCTTCCAAAGGAGAAGCACACAGCTGTCATCTCAGTGCTAGAGATGATTGTGATGTAGAGAAATCTGGAGAAGAAAAGGAGCGTGTATCGACAGGATATAGCAAAAGTATGTGAGTCTCCTTTCCAACACCCTTGTTCTACAAATATGTACTTGTGTGTTCTTATTTTACGTTTATGAAAGTTGTATAGGTTAAATGATGTCCTCCCCTTTCTTTTAAAGAACATGAGTTTGGTGTTTCCCAGGACTTTCTTTAGGGGTAGATGGCGTGCCCTAAACTTGCTGGTCAAATCTGCTGCTCTGAGTACATTTCCCAGGCTTTATCCTTGTGGATCAAAAGAACCAGTGATGCTGAGCTTGATTGGTGCCTTCCTTCTGGACTGCAGCCCCATTGAGCATGATTATACAAAGGGGTGACCACAGAGGGTTTGTAAAGTCTGTGTACATATGATGAGGTGTCTTCTCTAGAACTTAAGGTAGCACTGCCTCAATTCTATGAGCAAAATATATGAAAAAGTTCTGAAATACGCCGTCACTATTTATTTTTGAAGAAACTTTGAGCCATGTTAAATAAAAACAGATATTTTCAGGGCATTTTTGTTCAAGTAAGACAGGCTTCATTTGACTTCTACTTTTGCTTTAAACCTGTCACTCACAGAAGCAGGTTTGTTCCTATCTGTAACTTAATTATAACTGTAAAATGATTTAGCTGTTGAACAGCATACTGATCTACAGAACTACAGCAGTTGAAGCAGAAGTGACAACAGTAAAGACAGGTTTTGCACTTAAGTTCCAGGAAGATAACAAGAATAAAAGCAGTTTTTGCACTTCAGTTCCAGAAGTCAAAACTGAAGAGATCTTAGCCTTTGACCATTGTTATTGAAAAAATGGGTTAAAATCTGAATAAGACCAAATTAGCTCTTTATCATCTCTACTCTTCAGATGGTTTTAACCACCAGAGATGTGCTAGGGGTGAAATAATCATACATCTATTATTTTTCTTTTCTTTGAGTATAAACTCCCTCAAATTAAGTAAATAATTTTGAGATTTTAAGCCAATTAATATACAGCTTAGCTTTAGAATAGTATGTATTATATTCATAAGATACTATTTTATATTGCATTAGGATAATACCTATTTTCAAAATACTTTTTAAAATCACTGCACAACAATTAGTATTAAAACAGTAGATATGCAGAATGGTTCTGTACTTCATATCGTCCTGCCTTAAAAGTTTGCGTTCTTCTCAGTTTTATCTTTTTTTTTAAAGCTTTTGAATATTTAATGATATATAAGTAGAAATCAAGTGGGACAAAACTGGTTCCAAACAGGGTGACACACCTTAGACCCCAGCATTGTGGGTATGCCGTCCGTCCTTGGAAGCAGGTGGGTTTCTTGATCCAGGGTTCAGCCCTCTGTCCACAGCCCTGAGCATCAGGGTTAGTCACGGAAGGTGATGGATCTAGGCACTGGGTGGCACCTCAGGACTCAGAGGAACCTGAGAGAAGCCTGTGATGATTAGGGTGGGTCAGCTTACCTGGTACACAGGCAGGGAGGGCCTGGCAAGGCTCTGTTTGACTTTATTGGAAACATTCTGTGAACCATCGTGTCATCTTCACAAGACAAAAACATTGGATCCCAGGACAAGAAAAGACAGGGTTTCTAGCCTAAGCCTGAGCCCTTCCTTTTGTACGGGTAACATAGACTCATGGCTGTTTTAAATTGTCTACTGTCAGTCCATTTGGGACTTGGGCCTCTCAGCTCCCTGGGAATCTGCCATAGATAAAAATCATAAATCCTTGCACTGAAGTAGAAGCTCCACCCCTGCCCCTTGTGCCCCTGCCATGCTCTGAGCATGATCTAGACCCCTCCAGCTCTTTCCTGCTGAACAAGCCTTTTCAATGTCTGTTTTTGCTCTCTTACACATATCGACTCTAAAAGATAGTATACAGTAAGGCTTCAAGAACGGATTACCAAGAAGTTCAGTACTCGACAGTAAAACAGAATGGGGTAGACATATGATTTGTTTCTTTAAGTGATCATTACAATAATAAACTTTTCTTTTTCACATTTTTATTCTCTAACTTTATGAATAATAAACCAGTAATTTCCTTTGTTAAAAATAATAAACTTTTCTATCTCGTATTCTTTACTCTCTGCCTATTAAAGGTTCGTTGTGTACTTGTTATGTCTCCAGCAGCTTCTAGCTTGGGGGAGACGGTAGAGAAGGAACAACATGCCCCCTACCCCCAGTGGAAGCTGCATTCCTCGCCGAAGTCAGATGGTAAATCCGGATGCTGAGGCATCAGCTAGCGACTATTAAGTGATCTAAATTGTGGCACCCAACAGTGCAGGTGGTTCATTAAGGGGTGCAGTAAGGCTTCTCTAAGGGACTTTCACCAGCCACAGACCAGGCAAGGCGGCCTCTACATGTCTGGTGAAATCCAAACCAGTGCTAGTACCAGGGTCCTGAAAAGGCCTGCAGGGAGGAGGAGGCCAGCACGCAGTGATCCATTGAGCCTCAGATAGCGGTGGGAATGTGATGGCCGATATGGCAGGGATCAGATCTTTTGGGCCTTCCCAGCAAGGCTGGCAGTTGGCCTTGTTTGTTTTTCAGTGTGAAGAGAAGCCACTGGGGATTTTGAGCAGGGAGTAACCAAGTCTGATTGTTTTCAGTGTCACCCTGGATACTTTGAAGAACAAACAGTGGTTTTAGCATCTGCTAGAAGCAGTTACTGTCAACAGTGTGTTTCCTCCCAGATACTTTGTGCGTACAATATACAGATGCAAGCAGATACTAAAGGGGATGCTTGCGCATGCATAGATTATAGTATCCCATTGCCTTAAATCAGGCTTTTTAAAACCCAGTGTGTTAGATGGGTTTCCATGTTGGTCACAGTAGATGTTCATTTCTTTAGTTTAGCCAGTAAGGTTTTTTGTAATGGGTCAAACAGTCAATACATACTTTAGGGTTTGTGGGGTACATTGATATATTTAAGGACTTATGTATGTAAGGGGGAGAATGAATAACATTTGAGTTAATCAGGGCTCAAACAGGTGAGTTTCCCATCACCAGGCTTGATTTCAAATATTCTTTGAAGATGCCCTGTCACAAACACCCAAGTCTGACACTGGTTCACGGAAAGATGGTTTCCATTAAGCCTGCCCCCTGCCCAGGCAGCGTTTCTGGGGGTCTGCTGCATTCTTCTCTTGAGGCCGGCCTTCCAGCGGTTTACCTTGCACATTCACCACTCGCGGAAGCTGGAAGGAAGCTCTTGTGCACGTATGTAGAGGGATCTTGCAGTTAGGATGTTCTAATGTCAGATCTGGGAAACTCTTCAAGACAAACTGTAGTCTGTGAGTAGGAAAAATGTTAACAGCAAATCTGTGGGGATAGAGAGCTTGATTTTTGTTTTCTCAGTATTTATTGCTATTTTGGAGACAATCTCTTACCATGTAGCCCATGTTGGCCTCCAGTAAGCAATCCGCCTGTGTCAGCCTCTGGGCTCCCAAGACCATAGGTGTGTAGTGCTGTACCTAGCTTCATTCCAGCTTTTGACAGTGCCAGGCAGAACATGGATAAAGCAGCTTGATTTTTATTGAGATGATTTCCCTCCTTCCCCAACACAGCAGACCACAGCTCTGCTCCCACGTGACGTCAATCTGAGTTGCCCAGTAGATAACACTGACTAGTTGTCCTGAGCACTGTGGTTTGCAGTGGGGATCGCAATTGCCTCCCCCTAATGAATCTGGCCAGGCTTTGTAGGTCCCACTTGGGTATCAGCAGCGTAAATCCTTTCTACACTATGCCCGATTCCTGGACATTGATTTAGTGCAGATTTTTTTCCTGTACTATGTGTGATGGAATCGTACATGTCAGCATTTTATACATGTGTGTTCACTTATCTAAGCAGCTTGGCTGTTTCCCCAACTCCTGGTTTCTTTTACATAGTTACCAGCTGTTGGAGGTTGATGACGGACCACTGTTCTTCCAGCAGGTCTGGCTACCAGATCTTAAGGAAGGCGAGTTTCAGACACATAGACATTTGTAAACGTTTGTTGACAAGCAGATGGGGAAGAGGGCTCCAAACAGACAGATACGCTGCAGCCAGCCTCGGTCCCTTCACTCACTGTCCTGTCTTATCGAGGGCTTGGTAGAAAACAGTCGGTATTCTAGGGGCAAGCCTATAAACGTACTGTCAGCCTCAGGCTACCAGATGTCCTTAGACTCAGAACTTTATCATAGGGCATTTAGGGATCAAAACTTGACTTGGGAGTGCCCTGTGATATTTCAGCCAATCCATTCTTCTTGAGTCCGTGAACTTACCCAATGAGAAGCTTTCTGACATCGTTAAAGTGCTTTCACCAGCTATGGCTCATTTGTTTCACCCAGGTTGGCAGTTGGCACAGCATCCCCAAAATAGGCTTGTGGACTTGGGGTTGTACCTGAAGTGTGGTAGATGTTCAGCCGGGAATCGACCTCTCCTGAAGGGTGTTTTCCATGGGGCCAAACCGGGCCAAAGGATTCTAATTGCGTTGCAGCCATTTTAGCAAAACGTTTCATCTGTGTTGGTCTTTGATGGAAGAAACAGGAGCTGCCTGTGCTGATCTCGGGTGGCTGGAGCTCACTGCCTATAGCAGCTCAAGGTCTGAAGGACGATGAGGCTGCGCCCTCGCCTTCAAGGGGAAATGACGTGAACTCACAGATGCCTACTGAGAAAAATTACTCGTGTGGTTCAGAGTGGTGTTCATTTAGGATATAACTTTATTGGAGAATTATAGGCAAATTACCCAATAGTCACAAAAGTTAGTTGATAGTCCCAAAGCAGAGAATGACTTTTATATTCACTGGGATTTACCTCAATATGAGAAAGCTGGATAATTGTACCGTTTGGTTGCATTCGTTGGAGCATTATTAGTTGTGCCATTTTAAAAACTGAATTTATTAAAACTTTCATAAACAACTTTCTAAGCGTTAAACCCAAGCACAGTCATAGGTGTTTAAACACTCACTTGATATGGAGCATTTCTCATATTTTGAGTATTTCTCTCTGTGCATATATGGACGTGTGCATGTGGAAGCCAGAGGTCAGCCTAGGTGCCGTCCCTCAGGAGTCTCCACCTTCCTTTTTTGAGATGCAGTTTCTCACTGGGGTCTGGGGCTCCTGGGGTTTGTGGAGTTCCTGAGACTGAGGAACCATATGCACATGCGCACGTGGATGTGCAGGCCAGAGGCTGACTTCAGGTGTTTGGCTGGATCTGGAGTGCCCCAATTCCACTAGGCTGGCTGGCTAGCAAGCCCTGGGAAGCCTCCTGCCTCTGCCTACCCAGCACTGGGACTGCAAACATGTGCCAGCGCACCCAGCCTTCGTGTGGTGAGGACTCAATCCTTGTGCTTGTATCAGGAGCACTTGACATTAAAGCAAACAGGTGTGTGTGTGTGTGTGTGTGTGTGTGTGTGTGTGTGTGTATTCCTAAATTTTGAAATTAAAGAGTAATTGCACTTATAGTCAATTTGAATAATTCATCAGTGTTTCCAGAGGAGTGTTTCTCTCCATGCTCTCTCTCTGGCCGCCTGCCCCACTCACTAGGATGTAAGACTGTAGGCCGTCTAAACAGCTCCCTGTGGACTACTCAGCCCTGATAGGAAAGCAGGGCAGGGGGGCACGGGTCATGTAGTTGATGACTTGATTCACTTCTGCTGATTCATTTTGTGTCAGTTGTTTATTCTGCATCCACCACGTCCAAGGCGTTGAGATAGACACTGTGAGAGATTGTGTTGATATGAAGCTTGTTAAGCCGAGAAGGTTCTGCCAAGATAACCCATATCCAAGCCTCAGGGAGTTCAAGAAGTGAAGGAAACTCCCAGCCATAAATTTATAGAGCGTAGAAACTGTAAAACTCCTATTTTAATGGTCTCTGAGATGACTATTGAAGAAAAACTTGCACAGTATTGAAGATCATGATCAGATTTTCTTTTGTTTTCAAGACCAAGTGAGCTTGTTCTGTAATGGGTAAGTGAGTGGCCTAAACTGAGCTGGATTTGTGCAGAGCTGAGTGCCTTGCTTGTTTCCCAAAGGTAGAGACAGGAAGGAGCTCTGCTAAGTGTCTTTTAAGATCCTTCCCATTGTCTTACGGTTGTTGAGTGTTCAGGACTCAGCCAAGCCTACCTTGTGGGTGGTGCTAAGATGCCTGTCCTTCCTGCCATCTGTGCTGGTGCCTGACTAGTGACCTCACTAATCCACATCAAAGGTGATAGAGTGACTGTCTCCTAACTGTCCTTGAGCTATGGCTTTGTTTTATTGTTTGTTTGTTTTTCTCTGACTTTTAGTTCTTTAGACATTGTCGCAGTCTGTAACCCAGGCTGGCTCAAACCTGTGGCCATCTCCCTGCCTCAGCCTCATGGGTGCTGGGATTGATTCCAGGAGCGTACTGTGGGACCTGGCACAGCTAGCTCTTTTTTTTTTTAAAGCTGTATTTGGTTATTTTGTGACAACAATAGAGCATGTGTATAGTAAGCTTTAGAGTGAAACAAGAGAAGTCTCCGTTTTCTGGGTTTTGGTAGGGAGATCGTAAGAACTGTGTCTTCCCGAAACTCCTGTGTTAGAGCTGCAAACCTGACCCTGAATGAGAGTATTTGGAAATTGGGTGTTGGGGAGAAAATTACATTTAGATGAGATCATAAGGCTGGGCCCCTAAGAAGGTAAGAGATACAAGAAGGCTTGCTCCCTCTGTCTCTACTACATGAAGTTGGAGCAAGAAGATGGGCATCTGAAAGCCAGGAGGAGGGCCCTCATCAGAGCCCAATCGTGAGTTGGAAGCCAGTCAAGATCAGAATCTTCCCAATCTCCAAAATGGAAAATACCTATTGTTCCAATCACCCAGCTGGTGGTATTTTAAGACAGTCATCACACTAGTGTATTGGAGTAACAGCTTTAGAGAGGACTGTGAGCACATGGACTGCAATTTACCCAAGACACTCAGACTGTGTCCATCAGCTAGTTGCATCCATCTACTCATGGTCTAGCCAGGAGGTCTGTATAAGAGATGTTGAATTAGTAATCCAAAGATGAATGGCTTCATGAGAAATGATGACATCACCAGGAAAAGCAAATAGGCGTGACAGCCTGGGGAAACAGCAGCAGACAGGTAGAGCCCAGAGGCGGGAGGGCTGCAGACGGCGGTGCACGTTTGTCTACTGACATCTAGCAAGCAGGCGCCCCACACTGGCATGGGAAGCACAGTGCCCCCAGCCGCTCTTGGTTACCTGATGGCCTCCCCAGAGGAAACTGGCAAACTACTGTGGCAGAGCCTACAGCGGTGAAAGTGATGAAGCTCTTTAGGCTGTGACTGCATTGTTGGTGGGACACAAAACTCTGCAGCAGCGGCAGTGTGTCCTGCTTTAGATGAGGATGCAGTTCATGGTGCTTTGTACTAAGAATGCTTCGTACTCTGTCTCATTGGGCAAGAGGTGCGACAAGTGGCTGCCAAACAGCTTTTTTTAAGTGTATTAGGAAGCCCAGGCTTATTCATGATTCAGTAAACAAAAGGAGACTGCATACTGTGTCTGTAGTCCACTAGGTTTGGTTTGTTTGTTTGTTTGAGACAGGGTCTCCCTGTGGCCCCAGCTAGCATGGAACTCACTATGTAGACCAGGCTGGCCTTGATCTCAAGAGAGATCCTCCTGCCTCTGCCTGGTAAGTGCTGGAATCAAAGGCATGGGTACCACACCCGACCTAGCTCACTAATTTTTATTTTGATGTAGTCTTGCTTTAAATTAATATTTGTATTTAAAAGGAAAAATGCATAGTAGATATGAGTATTATAGTCCTTTAACTGCTTTTAATGGTAGATCTGAAAGATGATTAAACAAATGCTGTCCATATTCCATGCTAGGTTAGAGCTGTGAAAGCAATAAAAAAAAAGATTGTTGAAAGTGTTAGGAAGCAATACAGAAATGTTGATGTCCTTACAGAATGAGAAACTTTGCTGGATCTGAGAAAAAACTATCATGCCTTGTACCCTACCAGCCCGCTTGCTCCAGTCCATCCTCCTTCATTTGACACGCTGAGACCTTGTAGTCATTTAGCTGATTGGAGGTTTCAGTGGGTGGCTGTTATCTAGGACAGACATACAGAAGACGTGACCGCTGAAGAGGAAGCAGATCCATGTGCGATTGGTTTGTCTCCAAGGGGATCCAGCTTAGACATTTATAGGCAAAGAATGTTGACCTTAAAATATTTATAGGGCCCAGGATGCAAATAACAGCTAGTTTGAATTCAGAAAAATGCTTCACTGTTACTGTCCTGTACTTTTTTAATTGATTGATTCATCTTTACATTTATTGTGTGTATGTGTGTGGGTGCGAGTGGAAGTCAGAGAACAACTTTCAGGAGTCTGTTCTCTCCTGCCATGTGGGACTGGGAGACTGAAATCAGTCTCTCCTCAGGCTTAGCAGCCGGTGCCATTACCTACTGAGCCATCTTGCAGGCCTAATTTTTAAAGATTTATTTTTAATTTAATTGTACATACTTGTGTGTCTGTGTGGGTATGTGCTCATGTGTGCAGGTACCTGAGGAGGCCAGAGGCATTGGATTCCCCCTGGAGTTGAAGTTACAGATGGTGTGAGTCGCCACACATACTGATGTGGGTTCTGGGAACTGACTTGAGGTCCTCTGCAAGAGCAGTGTCTCTCTTAACCACTGAGTCATCTCTTCAGCCCTGCTACCCTAATTTTTTATTTAGAAAGAAGTCTGTTTTTGAAGAATGGAAGTTTTTAAGTCAGACTCTTCAAACCTGGGTAGTTCTCCGCTGCCGCCCACCCTTCCTGTCACAGGTGCATCGTGGCCCATGCGAGTGCCACCTGTGTCCTCCCTAAAAAGCCCAACTAACTGTAAAGTAAGTGGCAGGAGCTCATACCAGGTGAGGCAGCAGGGGAGCTCACTCGCACACTCTGCCTTCCTCCGGGCTGGTGTCTAGTTGCATTTGATGGAGTCTTCACTCACGTGACTATGGCAGTAAGTTGTTTTCATGTGAAAATCTGCAGGGAGCAAAACGTGTAGATTGAAACCTGAAACTTCGTGTGGAAAACAGAATTCTAGAAAAAGCAAACCCCAAACCGAGTTAACATATTACAGCTAATAAGTGTGTTGTCTACTAGCTTGGATTGTATTATCATTTTGTAATGTACATACAGTGAGTGCCTGCATGCAAGTGTGACGCGCTGAGACCTTGCAGCCAAATTGGCAGGATTGTTTGGGCAGTTGAGTCAATTGCTTGTGTTGTTTGCAGGAAGGCACCTGAAGTTCTAAGTGGATTTATTTTTTTTTTGAGCATTTGTATGTGTATATACACATGTGTATTGAACCCAGAAAACTCACTGCCAGGGTTAGTCTGGCGGTCTGGCTAGCTAGCTTGCTCTAGGGATCATCCCCCCGTCTCTGCCTTTCAAGTCCTGGAATTATAGGCAGGCTGCCGTTCCCACCTGACACTTGTGTGGGTTTTGGGAATCCAAACACTAGTTCTCACACGCACACGGCAAGTGCTCTGCCCACTGAGCCATCCCCACAGCCCTCTAACTGGATCTTATAGAGGTGGATATAGTGGTAATTTAAAGAGCCTGTGGTTTCCTGTTTCTATTAGGCATAAATACAATGTTTAATTTTTGTTTTGCTTTAACCTGAACTTGTAGTCAGTCCATGTAAGTTCTAACTAACTTTCAGGCTACTTGGGTTTTAGGTGTTAAAGATGGACCAGCGAGGCCTGATGTTTCAGACAGCTGGTGTACCGGCCCTGTCAGACCTCAAGAGGAGCCAAAGAAAAGTGGGAAAGCACAGAAGGTAAGTGTGAGGAAAAATTACTTCAAACTTTCACATGTGCACTGTCATAATTTCTATTCTGGTTAAGGAACCGTGAAGTAGTCACACACCTTGTATTTGTTTAAGACAGATTACAGGTGACTGGGGCAGTGCGAAAATGAACTTAGAGCCCTGGTGCCATTCAGGATGAAGAGTCAGCATTGACAGGCCACACTTCCTCCTGTCACTTTGTCAGCACATGTCTGGCTATGAACACGCCTCCCGCTGCTCCTAAGCAGAGTAGAGGCCAGTATCTGTTGCCGTACTATAATCTGAATACGTATTTTACGAGGCAGGAGTAAGTGCCCAGATGTCCTTCATTTGTGAATAAACCAAGGCCTGACGTAAAACTACGAGACTCACCATTTTCATGAGGCTCACACAGTGGGTGGTGCACTTGGACTCAGAATCATGGGGAAACTGCCTGATAATCCAGGGCCATGACTGCTCAGATGGGATCGCTTAGGACTTGGGTTTCAGAACTGCAGTTTTTGATGACGACATGGAGAGGTGAATGGTTGTTAGAAAGATGATGAATTTCTTAATACAAGACTTAAATTTTTTATTTGTTTTTATTTTATGTGTTTGAGTGTTTTGCCTACATGTATATAAGTTCTCTTATATCATATCATGCTTGAGGGAGCCAGAAGAGGGTGTTGGATCCCCTGGAACTGGAGTTGTGGCCTGTTGTTAGTTGCCATGTGGGTGCCGGGAGCTGAACCTGGGTCCTCTGTAACAGCAGCCGGTGCTCTTAGCTGCTGAGCCATCTCCTGTCCCATGCAGATCTTTGAGGTAGGGCAAGGAGAGGAATTTGACATCTGATGTTGTTATGAGTCAGCAAAACCTTGGATTCTGTTTGTTGATATTAAAAGCTAATTGTAAGGTTGTAGAAGGACCGGATCGCTGAACTAAATAGAAGTTCCTCACGTGAACCTTACTGTCCTGGGGTTCCAGAGCACAGCCTGTTTTCTTTGAGAACTGGTGTGCGTGCAGACACTGGCTATGAACACAGCTTGAAACTCCGATGTCTCTTGGGGCCCATCTGAGCCGCACTACAGAGTAGGCCTGTCAGAGCAGATTGTTCTGAATTACTTTCAGTTTTTGACCACATGAAGTATGCTTATTTGTTAAAATTTTTTTGAGTTATCTATTTTATTTTATGTATGAATGTTTTTACTGTATGTATATAGCAACCATGTGCTCTCAATGTTCCCAGTGGCCAGTAAAGGGCATCGGAGCCCCTGGAACCGGAGTTACATTTGGTTGTTAGCTGCCATGTGGGTTCTGGGAATTCAACCAGGGTCCTGTGCAGGAGCAGCCAGTGCTCTTCACCCCTGAGCCATCTCTCTAGCCCTGAAGTGTGTGTTCTTTGAAGTCTGTTCCTGACTCCTTAGTTTTCTGACTCACCTTTGTTTCTGTTTTTATTACCTGTAGTTTCTCTTAATTCTCAGTCATATGTTTCATAGCTGGTAATATGCCTGGTTATCGTTAGCTTATCTTCCAGTCAGGAGTTGGAATGGTGGAGAGCTGGGCCTCTTTCCCTAGGGAGGATGCCGTCCTAGCTCCTCTGCTGCCCGACCAGCTGGTCAGCAGCAGCATCACAGACGCTGGTCTTCTGTTTGCACTTCGTCCAATTCTGTGGCTGATCCCAGTGAGGAGGCTGAGCCACACAACTCAGTCCACTGCTACCAGAAATCCTAGCTCAGTCTTTACAACCTTTCAAGGAAAGAAGACTTAGTGTTTTGTTAGGTTTTTTAATTAATGAATGAATTTATTTTTATTTTATGTGTATGAGCATTATGTCTGCATACATGTAAGTGCAGCCATGTTGTGCAATGCCTGGGGAGGACAGAAGAGGGGGTTGGATCCCCTAAAACTGGAGTTGCAGACAGTTAGCTACCGTATGGGTGCTCGTATTCGAACCCGGGTCTTGTGCAAGAGCAACAGTGCTCTTAACTGCTGAGCCGTCTCTCCAGCCCTCACTTAGTGTTGTTTTTTTTTTTTTTTTAATGTAGAAAACATTTATATTTTTTTCTGGGTGTATTTGTGTATTCTGTGTGTAAGTATTTGTGTGTGTATATATGCATGCTCGTATGTGCACTTGGCATGTGGAGGGCAGAGGTCAGTGTCATTCTCCCTTTTGTTTTTTGAGATAGGGTCTCTGCAAACCTGGGACTCACTAATGGACTAGCCTGGCCTGCCAGCAAGCTTCAGGGACCCCCTCCCCACCACAACCTTGGCATTTCCCATGAATGCTAGAGATCTGAACTCAGGTCCTCATGCTTGTGCTAAAAGCACTTGGCTCCCTGGTCTCCCATGTAAATTCCTTTCAGAAAAGAGTAAGAAAAGACCAATTCGAGAGAAACGGTTGCCATGGAGCTTGTTTGAGAAGAGAATGTTGCACATCTAAAATGTGTTTACCTAGGCTTCTCTTTAACGGTGAGCAAATAAGATTCGATAAAGAGCTGTGTGATTGCAGCTTCCTTTAGTGTGTTTAAGAGAAAAAGTCATTTAGTCATTTTTCAGAATTATAGTTCTAAGTACATGTTCAGGGCCCTTCTTATTTTGAGGACTTGGTTAAGCAGTTTTACTGCTACTTTTCTCTTTTAATATGTAGGTTACGGGCAGCAACATAACTGCCCATCTTTGGGTAGCAACATAACTGCCCATCTTTTCTGAGGGAAAATGTAAAATGCTGCAGTAAATTTACCGTTTGCCTTGTTACTTGAGTTTTGCTGAGCGCAGAGCCTGAGGAAGTTAACGTAGGATCCGTGTTGCTGTGAAAGCTGGGAGAGCCACTCCTCCAAGGGTGTTTGTTTTCAGTTACTTCTGGGCTTGTTGTTTGAAAGATCGTTATCCTTAACAAAAATTTCAATCTGAGTCATCAATTGCATCGGTTTTGGTCAGTAGCTAATTTTAAATTCTCATTTGGGGGCAGTGCCTTCCAATCCAGTTTGTTCTTCAGAAGGGTGGGCTGTGGGTCAGAGCATGGAGTGTTTGCAGACAGCTTTCATCAATGCAGGGCCTGGGGAGAAACGGAGGACCAAACGCACAGCACCCATTTTGACCAGATTTCCTTCCTTCCTTCCTTCCTTCCTTCCTTCCATCCTTCCTTCCTTCCTTCCTTCCTTCCTCCCTCCCTTACTTCCTCCCTCCCTTACTTCCTCCCTCCCTCCCTCCCTCCCTTCCTCCCTCCCTTCCTTGGAACTACACACCAGATAGAATGCTTTCATTTTTTGTGTGTTTTAAAAAAGATTTTGTTAGGGTAGAAGAGATGGCTCAGTGGTTAAGAGCACTGACTGCTCTTGCAGAGGACCTGGGTTTGATGCCCCGCACCCACATGACGGCTAACAACCATCAGTAATTCCACTTTCAGGAGATCTGACTCCGTCTTCTGACCTCCGAGAGTATTACACTACATGAGTGCACTTACATGCAGGTAATACACTCATACACATAAAATAAAAATAAAAAATAAAATATCTTTTAAAAAAGATTTTGGTATTATTAGCACATGTGCCACAGCACGCATGTGGAGGTCAGAGGACAACTTTTTAGTATCAGTTCTCACCTTCTACCATGTGGGTTCCCAGGATCAAACCCAGGTTGTCAGGACTTCACAGCAAGCACTTTTACCCACTGAGCCATCTTGGTGGCCCAGAATATGTATATTTCTAAAAGTCTTGTGCATGATCTAGGAAACACATGTGTAGTGGGCTTGCTTGTGTTTCAGTAATTGCTGATTCTCACATTTGCTAGGCTGTGAGCCTCTAGAGGCATGCCCGGGGTCTCCTTCAGTGCTCAGCATGGTACAGTACCATGTGCAAAGACAGTGCACCATATTTCTGAGCAAGTAAAGGTTATGGTGATTGCCCTTTTAAAAATGTATGTGTGTGTGGTATACATGTGTATAAACCTGTTCACGTGTGTGAGTAGACATGTATGTGTGTTCACATGCATATGGAGGCCCAAGGTTGGGGTTGGGATTCTCCTTGATTACCTTCCACATTATTCATTGACACAGGCTCTCTTAGTTGAACCCAGAGCTCCCAATTCAGCCAGTCTGTCTGACCAGCTTCAAGGGATCCAAGAACTGTAATTTTAGGTGGGCCACCAGACCCCCCAGCATTTAGTAGGTTCCAGTCCTTACACTTGTGCATAGCAAGTGCTCTAACCACTGAGCCATTTCCCCAGCCCACCCTTTTGCTTTTGTATGAATATGCTTCAGTTACTCTGCGGTTCCAGCCCTCACCCCCCCTACTGGAATCACTGCCACCTACCTCATTTCTTTGTGGATGTTCTACATCAGTGAAAGACAGAGCACCTCAGGGTAGAATGCTGTGGTCCGTCACTGAGGTGTTGACCCCTCCTCAGATGCCCACCTTCAGCCCTGCTCTTTGCTCTATAAAGAAAAGGCCCCCAAATGTGTATCTACCTGCTTTGATGGAGTCAGTAACATTTTATAAATGTGCTTTTCCAGTTTGCAGTAATTCTAGGACTTTGGCTGGATGCCTTAGATAGTGTGATAGCGGCTTTGATTTTAAACTTAGCTTTCAAGTTGAAATACCAGTGATTCATCCACATGACAGGTGATATTTATTTTTCTTGAAAATTCAACATGAGTATTTTGTTATTAAACATTTCAGGGAATCGCCACACTTCCTCGCAGGTGACACATTTTATAAAAGTGCCCGTAAACAGTTTCCTGCTGTTTATTCCTGCTGGGTGCACTGAGATAGGACCAATCTCTGGGTGGGTCGTTGGAGAGCCCATCACTGGACAGATGGGTTTACAGAGACCGAGGGGAGCTTGGTTTCCAACACAGCTGTTCAGTGATCTGCAGTTGCTTTGACAACCCCCTTAGCAAAGCCAGCCCAGGGTTGGCAGCGGTAGAAGCACACATTGTGACAGGTGCAGTATCCCCAGCACGGCTGCTTCATGAAGCCATCTAAGAACCAGTGCCATGTTGGTGGCTACAATTGCTTTCAGCTCCCGTTATTAGTTTTTGTTATGTGTCCAGAAAATATTTCTGTAGAAAACAGTCAATACTGCTTTTTATGTCCAATAGAGAAATATGGCTTTGGATACATTGTGAAGTGTGTGGCTCAGAAGTCATCAAATAGAACCAGCATGGTGATGCATATGCCTGTAATCCCAGCACTCAAGAGGAAGAGGCAGGAGGATCAGGAGTTCAAGGTCATCCTCAGCTGTCTAATGAGTTCAAGACCAGCTGAGCCATGTGAGCCCATCTCAGAGGAACAGCAGCAGCAACAAAAACCATCAGATGAATTTAGACTCTTGGAAGTAAGGGCCAGTGGGGCAGATTTCCCCAGACCCTCTGGTCATCTGGGCTACACAGAGCTGGAGGCCAAGATCAGAACATACTCCCTATTGAGAGAGACCTGCAAGGCAAGAGAGAAACTTCCCGGGGAATTCTAAGTGCTGCTGCTCAGCAGTATGATTCTGGGCAAGGAGAGCTGGCAGGTCCCATCGAAACTTGTTGTATTAGTTACTTTTTCTTGTTGCTGTGACAGAAGAGCTGGTAAAAGCAACTCACGGCAGAGTTGATTTGGGCGCAATTTGAGGGTGCAGTCCATCATGGCGGGAAGGCATAGTGGCTGGAGGGAGGCAGCTGGTCACATGGCGTTCCCAGACAGAGATGAATGCTGGTGCTCAGCTCACTTTTTCCTTTTTATTCGGTCCTGGACCGCTAACCCTAACCCCACCGACCCCACGGGATGTCCACCCACACCCAGAGTGGGCCTTCCCTCTTCAGTTAAGCCTTTCTGGAAATGCCTTCATAGACACACCTAGAGTCGTTTCCATGGAGATTCTAAAGTTAGTCAAGTTGCCAGTGAAGATTTACCATCCCATAATATGTAAGGCCCGGTTTATTGACTATCATTTGAGGGATGTTAGCCAAATGATAGTGTGCCTTGTGAATATTAGTCAGTCATCCTGAAGAAGGGCTCTTTGAGTAAAGAACTGCTGTGAAAATTGCTGCTCAACTCTGGGCTTGCTCAGTGCAAATACCTGTTCCTCAGAGAGCAGCCACTCTGCTGATGAGTGCCACAGCGCTGAGCCCACTCCCCATGTCCATTCTGTCTCCCAGTGACCCAGCCAAGCTCACCACACTCCCTCTGTTCTTATTTGCAATTCTTTTGGTGGTCTGACTCACTTCTGTCCAATATAACATCAAGGGAAATCTAACTGGGAGGTTTCTGGAACCTGGATCTGTCCCTGGGAAGAAGGGGCTGTGTGTGTCCCCAGGAACCCGGACAGCCCAAGATTGAAGCCAGGAGCAGAGCAGGGGGAGAGGACAGCGAGGAGCACAGACGGCGAGGCCTGCAGAGCTCACTGTTCTCCCGGAATCAGGTGGCTCTGCACCGACAGGAGGGGCTGCCTCACTCAGGGGTCTCCCAGGACACTACTGTGTTCAGGACTGTGCGTCCAGGAGATGAGATCTGCAGACCTCACGTTGCTTCCGTCAGTGTTAGAGGGCTGAGTGCCTAAGGCAGGGCTGCTTCAATTAGGGCCTCACAGGATACCATGTGTACACACAGCAGAGTGTCTAAAAGCTGAGACCTCACCGGACATGCACTGGACGAACACGACTCCCTCCCCATCATCAGGTTTAGTTCCCAGCACTCATATGGGAGCTAATGAACACCGTAACTCCAGTTCCAGGGGGTCCAATGCCCTATTCTTGTTTCTTCGGGCTTTGCGAGACACGGGTGCACTCACGTACATGCAGGCAATGCACTCATACATACAAAATTTTTAAAAAATAATAAAATATATATAAAGGAGTAAAGGATAGAGGGAAAGAAGTTAAAGAGTGACATTAAAATGTGCAATTTACAAATCCATGAGGCATTTTATCTATTTGTTAAACAAAACATAAAGCATTTCAAATAGATTTTTGGCACATGCTTTTGTGGGTTTTGGATGTGAGTTGAGATTTACTTTATGTATCAGTGCTGAGTGTGTGAGGAAATTCCCCACGCTGACTATCAGACCAGACCAACTTGGGAAGAAGCACTTACCGTTCATCGTTGGAGACTGTCAGCCACGAATGTGTTGTCATAAGTTATGCTTTTTCTTTCTGTGGAGTTATCCTCTGCTTTCCATTTTAAAATATATTTGCCTCTTATTTATAATTAGTTCTGTTTTGAAAAGAAAGCAAAACTAATAATCTACAGTCTGTCAGTAGAGCTGCCTTTTTTCCCTCAGCTCTGACATTTTCCCTGTGTAGTCCCACTCCCTCTGGGAACGTTAACAAAAAGGAAGGACTGTGGATAGGAGAGTGGGGATCAGAAGCAGTGCAGGGTGGAGTGGGGGTTCCCAGCAGCCCCCAGGACTTTGCAGGTAGATGGAGGTTTATGTCTTTCTCATGATAGCAGTGTGAGTTTGAAGGCTGTACATAGACTGATCAGTGAGAGGCGTTTCTGCCCTGCCCCTGGACTTGGGTAGTTTGAGGAAGAGTTTAAGGTCACATTTAAGAATTCCAGGGACCAGGTCCCATACCCTCCAAAGATGGCAAGAGGCTGGAACACCCCAGCTCGGCTTCCCCACCTCCTCCACACCATAGCTGTGCAGTGCCCATGGAGACCAGAAGAGGGCGACAGATCTCCTGGAACTGGAGTTACAGTTGTTAGCCACCTTGTGGGTGCTGGGAACTGAACCCCCTGAACCCCAGTGAGCAGCCAGTGCTTTTAACCCCTGAGCCATCTCTCCAGCCCCGTGAATTTTA